GCTACTGGCCTCTTGGGGGTAGAGCCAGGAATCTGCTAAACATCTTGCAATTCACAAAATGGCCTATTGATGACAGTTATCCAACCCTGCACGTCAATATTGTTGAGACTGAAAAATCCAGATACAGGAATTATATTGGCCATGGCACTTCTCACCAAATCGCCTTTTCCACCTTGGTCCAACCATGCCTTCCTCCAGAGTACTACAATACCCTCCTACATGATTCCCTTGCTTCTGCCTCTGCCCTCCACAATCTTTTCAACATTTTTTAAAATTTTAATACTTTAGTTATATACAGTAAAATTCGCCATGCTGGGTGAACAGTTCTAGGAGTGTGAATAGATCTTTAGAGGTCATATAGCCATCACCACAATCAACACAGAGAGTGGCCAGCTGAGTTTTCAAAGTCTTTACTGTGTGGGTGTGTCTCTCGCAGGGGTCACTCTGGGGCAGCTTGCACTTGGCAGTGGTTTCTAACTGTATTATGTTCTCAGAGTTTTCCCCGGGTGTGTTCTGCACATGTGGAGCTGGGCCTGTGCCCAGTGTTGGTTCCAGCATCTCCTTGTCAGGATTTCCCCTACACTCTCCGGCTCCCAGGTGGCCCTTTGCCTGGCTCCTCTGGTCTGAAAGATGGGCCCTCCAAGAGTTTTAGTTCCCTTCCTCCACAGTTTTGTGCAACTGAGCCTGCCCTTTGAGTGAGGTACCAAGTGATGAGAAAAGGGAAAATAATGAGGATACTTCCTTCAATCCTCCCACCACAGAGGCCTCTTTTCCAAGTTTCTCTGCAGAAGGAAGGATGTTCTCCCCAGGCCCTGCCTTGATTATGCAATGTAACTGGTTTTACTCTCAGGCCAGAGCTAGGAAAGAAAGAGGAGGGAGATTTCTCCCACACTCTCATATTATTGGGGACCCTTTTCCCACTCCTCTGGCTAGAAGAGGGCTTTCTGTTCAGGTTTTGCCCTCCCTGCTTCTCTGATTCAGCTTGTTCTCTGGTCAGAGTCAAGCAATAAAGGAGAAAAACAAAGACCTAGAAAGCTCCCCGGCACCCTACTAGCCCTTCTTCAAGTTTTGCCTTCTTGTAGTGTATGGCCTAACAATAAGGTCTGATGGCACGTGCTGTCTTGACATCTGGTGAAAGTGAGAATGGCCTAAGCGCAAGTTCTTCTCCCCACTCTGCTCCCATGAGTAAGGTTCTGTAACCAAACAAACCTTCTTGTCACTGGGCCAGGCACAGTCCCCGCTCATCCCCAAGTAGTGGGTTTCAAGGATAGTTCAAATAAGCCAAACACACCCTCCCCCAGGAACTAAGGGCACCCCACCCTCTTGATACTACAAACTCAGCCTTCCACAGCCCTTGGGTGTTTACTCTGTTCCCGAGTTTAACACTGTGGCTCACAGCGTCCTCTTCCCCTAGGCTGTGAATACATGTAACTAATAGACTGTTGTTGATCTCACCTGTCCAGTTCAGGTGGAATGCAATTGGCCATTCCCACAGCCTAGGGTAGTGAACGTCCTTAGGATCACTTACAAGAACCCAGGTGATCCAGGCCTCCAATCCCTCTATGGCCCTCTCTCTTATAATTCATCTCCACGCAGTCCATTCCAGTTATTTCACTGCTTTCTATTTGTTTTGATCCCTAAAGCAAAATGCATGCTTCTGCCTTACAACCTTTTTCAGTGTAGCTCCCCCTGCATGAGATGTTCCTCCAGATATCTATATGTTCAATCTCTGCAGCTTCAATTTTTGTTCGGATGTGACCTTCCTAGTGTGAACTACAACAACTATGCTATTCCACAACTACCCTATTCAAAATTACAAATCCCGGGACCAGCAGTTAGCATAATGGTTATGTCGCTGGATTCTCATGTAGTCGACTACGATTCAAGTCCTAGACCCGGTGGCTTAAAACTTATGCCGGGCGCGTGTGCGTGTGTGCGTACCCAAGATCCCAAGAGGAGAATGGAGGAGAAGGGATTGCAGCATGGCGATCCCCGCTGGGGGGTGATTTCTCACTTTCTATCTCTCTGTCTTTCTCTGTCTGTCTGGGGAGCGCACGTGCCCTATACTAAAAACCTCTAAAAAAAATGCAAATCCCTCCTCCCCTGCACTCTCAATCTCCCTTTTCCTATTTTTTTTTTCCTCCAGCACTAATCACCTTCTAATATACTAATTTACTATGCTATTGTCTGTCACCTCCTCATTCTCATCAGAACATTAGTTCCAGAAGGATAAGCATTTTCTTGCATTTGGACCTTAGCACCTGGGAGGGAGCTGATACATAATAGGCCCTCAGAAACTATTTGTGAATATATAAAGTATTCAAACATACTTAGCAAGGGTGCTTATTCAGAGGAGTTGGAAAAATTCATGCCAGAAAAAATTAATCTAATTCTGATCTTTACCTAGTTTTTAATTACAATAGAATACCCCTCTCCTTTCTACTCTGAGTTTGTCAAATCCTTCCTTGAAATAAAACACATTTCAGTGACTTTAACACAGCTTTGTACTGATGGATTCTTGAGTTTGTTATAGCGGTGAACCAGGGTTATTTCAATGGCAGATACATGCTGAAAAACATTCTGGAACTGCCTCCCTCCTCCAGAATAATTCAAACCAGAATGGCATTCCCAAACCTCATTTTTTTTTTTTTTTTTAGAGAGAGAGATATTTTTGCTATAGGGTGTGTGTGCTCACTGATGAAACAGAGAGACAGACAGAAAATGAGAACTCACCCCTCAGGGAGAATGGTCACGCTACAATCCCTTCTCCTCCATTCTCTTCTCAGGATTTTGGGCACACACACACATGCACACATGCCTGACATGAATTTTAAGTCACTGGGTCTAGGATTCGAACCACAACTATACGGGGCTCTAGTGATGTAACCACTGCACCATCTGCTGGTCTCCCAAGACCTCATTTTGAATACAGTTGGTTCTCCATGTCCAAAGGTTTTGCTTTGGTGGGTTCTGCATCTGAGGCAACTAACTACACACTGTGTGCAATGTAGTTATACTTACGATGGTTTGTACTGAACGTGGACAGATTTTTTTTCCCTTGTCATTATTTCCTAAACAATATAGTTATTTACATAGCATGTACATTGTATTAGGTAGATATCCTAAGCAGTCTAGAGTAGAGTTGAAATATACTGGCAGACATGCATAGATTGCATATGCAAATAACATGCCATTTTTTACAAGGACATTGAGTTTCCACAGGTTTTGGTATCTACTGGGGATCCTGGAACCAATTCCCCCTGAATACTGAGGGATGACCACAGATTTGGTTCTTTTCTGATTAAACATATTGTACAGACTGAGTTCAGATAAAATGTTTGTATAGAGACTATATTCATTTTATACCTCCTGTATAAGGAAATAAATCACATATTCATCAATTTGCTTTTTCAGTTCACCACTTTTCCCTGCCTCTCTTGGGTCTTTATCAAATAAGCCATTTCATAGCTGATACACTTGGGAGACATTAAAAAAAAAAAAAAGAAGAAGAAAGAAAGAAAGGGAAACACAGTGGATTTACTATCAGGTGTGGTATGTAGCTAAATGTTTATTTTTTCACTTAAAAAAATCCTTCTATAGATGGAGAGAAGAGATGAGAAAAATGCAAAGTGGGGTGAGAACCTATGCTGAAGTCAAATATTATTGTTCATGGGCCTATAGCAAATCATTTTATCTCCTACTATTGCTTACCTGGCACCATGCCTCAAATGAATCAGTTCCCTTCTCATAATAACAAGTACAATGGGGACAGATCACTATCTACAAGAATGTAGTTGAATTGTGGAATTTCTTACAGCTAATACTTTTACTTTTCTAAATTATGCAAAAATATAGGTATTATATTAATTTCTTTACATGTTTTGAACCTTCATTAAATGTTATTTATCAACATATTAACAAGTCATTGAATTTAAATAGTGTATATACAAACTTCAAAAATTCAGATAAAGTCTAGTATTAATGGAGAAAAATGGCAATAGGTGTATATTCTGGAATTTTCTTTTCTTGGTATTCTTTCATTCATTCAGCCAATATTAATTAAATACCTGTAGTGGACAAGGTACCATGCTAGCACTTAGCGATAAGCTGTAAATGAAATAAGCTCCTGCCCCAGGCAGCTTCACTTATTGAAAACACATGTTGGGAACCAGCAGTTAGCATAATGACTGTGTCGCTGGCATGACTGTGTCGCTGGACTCCCACATAGTCGACCGCGGTTCTCGTCCTGGACCCGGTGGCTTAAAACTCAAGCCGGGCGCGCGTGCGTGTGTGCCCAAGATCCTGAGAGGAGAATGGAGGAGAAGGGATTGCGGCGTGGCCATCCCCCCTGGGGGGTGATTTCTCGCTTTCTCTCTCTCTCTCTCTCTCTCTCTCTCTCTCTCTCTGTCTCTGTCTGGCGAGCGCATGAGTCCTATAGCAAAAACCTCTCCAAAAAAAACCCAAAAAACACATGTGTAAACTAGCAAGCATAAACATTACTTTTTCTAAACCACTTTCCTCACTGTATTCAAAAGTGGACTTGTTCATTGAATCTGCATCTCCTACAAGGTCTTCTTAATATAAACGCACAAATAGGTGAGGCCCATTTCACCTAAATATCAACCTCTACTCAATCATACTTCGATAAATAAATACTATTGAGAAATAAAATGTATCAACCAAGTCCTGTGGGCTGTGGTCAACACATATATTTACTATTGGAATCATTGCTTTAATCTTGTTACCATGAAATTGCTTTCAGAGTTTAAAGAAAACGAAAAGGTATCGATAACAGGCCTGAATTTTGAGCAGGCGCCTTTATTGAATCTCTTGCAGCCAGGCAGAACTTCCACCCCCAAACAGCACAGACTCTGACTCTCGCGTTTCGGCTAAATTTGAGCCGTTCCTCCCGCCGTCCTCCGTCACGTGCCGGCGCGCCCGGGCCGCGTTGATAGGTGGGAGTGGCTCTGCCAGGGGCCGGGGCAGG